TGATCTCCTTTCCAAGGATTAGCAATAGCATAAGCTGTTTGGAAGCCAGTTGTTACATCAATAACAAATATATGTTCAGAGATAAATGTTTGTACATACCTGCAGCCAGATGATTTAATCATTGGTGAGCTTGTATATTTTTGGAGTATATTATATTATATATACTGGCAAAGAAGTATAATGTAACCATATTTTCTCATCTTTTTCTAAAGACAATCTGCTGGTTTCAGGTGGTTTTTACATAAGTGTGTGTTAAGCTTCTTAATATTTAGAACAAAGCCAAGTGTTCTTGTTTCTTATTTTGTTTTGCAGCAGATTACACTTTATTTTGCAGACTATTACTATCCTACTGAGTAATAGTGTACTAAGAAAGTCCTGCTTCCCAGAATCTCAGAAAATCAGATTTTGCTTTAAGAGATCAAGATGTCTTAATAGATCAAAACCTCACAAATGTTTTATTCCCAAGGAGTCTGATTTGAAAGAACATGAAATTATTCTATTTCTAAAAAAAAGCACTAAACCCCCAAATCCTGGCAGATCAGAATGATTACACTGTGAATTTTACTGAATCAAGTGATTGATGTATTTGCTAAATTTTCAATTTGTTTACTCTGAAAGAAAGATGGCATGTGATTTTAAACAGCAATATTAGAGACTGATAGTGTTGAAAATTGCATGACACAGGTACAGGGCAAAGCACAGCAGAAAGGAAAGGTTAGAATGCAGGCCCTCGGGCATTATTTGCTTGAGGATCAATGTTATCAATAGGGACAATGTGATCCCAAGGTGTAGGATGTGCTGAGAAAGAATCAAATTCTCTCTGGTGGGTCTGTGTATACTCCTCTTGATTGTTTAAAACTTTTTGATAGACAAACCCAGAGGGTCTGTGGTGGGGAGCTCAATCTGTGGGGCCTTTACAGCTCCTGAATTCCTGCTGGTTCCCACAGGACAGTGTGCTGAGGATAGCCTGGCAGCCTCAGACCATTGCACAAGCTGCAGGATGGAGTTGTTACAGAGTAAAATCTGTGTGCGGGGTTGGAGAGGCTCAAGGATGACTCTCAGAATAACAATGCAGGCTTGGAAGACTTGGGGTACACCTGGTGTGGGGATCAGTTCTGTCAGGTACAGCCTGAATTCTGCTCACTGTGTTCTGGTGAACCTGAAAAACTCCACTGGGCTTTCCCAGTCATTTGCCTGCCTGGTTCTTTGCTGCAGCCCTTCAGGAGCCCTGCTGCTGGAGCTGATTCCAGAAGATGGAAGATGGGCCAGCTGTCCGAGTGGCTCAGGGAGAGACACCAGGTTGCTGAAGGAGGGTGAGGTCAGGAGAAACAGAAACCAGGAAATTGTTAGTATATAGCTTTTGAGAGTCCTGAAACCGGGATGTGTAGGCTTGCTCATTAGGGCACCGGGACCGCTGCTGGGTCATGGGGCTTTTGGAAGAAATCCCAAATTGGCATTATTGATTTTTGCCTGAGCAGGCATGGGTAAGTCAGGATAAGAGTTAGAGCAGGTCATGACAGAGTGGCATTTCCTTCCTGGAGAAGAGAGCATTTTGCAAAACGCTGTAATTGAGACTTTGTAGAAGTGATGGCTCTCAATTGACCTAGGTTGGACAGTGGTTAAGCTGTGGAAGCCTGGGGCAACCTTTCTTGTCAAAACTTTGTTCCAGGCACTTTGCTGGAAGCAAGACACTAAACAGATTATATTTTCCTGGATATTATTTAGTGGAACAACTTCTCTCCTTTCTTTTTCTGTTTTCTACCTGCCTTTTTCCCTCGTTTCTTTATGAATAAGAGATATCAGTTCAGTTATGAAGAAACCGAATGAAGAAGAACTGTATGCTGATACTTCCAAGCCATGATCTCATCTGTGAAGAATGAGTGCAAGATAAAAATATGAACACCAGCTTTTAAAATGAGAATAACAAACCTTAAATCATAGCTAAATTTCTTAGTATCTTACTCATACTTTTTCAATATTATCAAGATACAAGAAATAGCAAAACTAAATGGTTTAATTCTTTCCCCTTGTGAAGTGATCTCAGTATTGGTCTCATGCCTCTTGTTGAATGCATAAGATATTTTTTCCAGAAAATAACAGCAACATGAGCATGTTGTTTAGCTGTAGTGTACTCTTTCTGACTCTTCCACCCACACTGTGCTCAAGGAAGACTTTATTTAGTTTGTACAGTGCAAAAGGTATTTAAAGTAAAAGAGTTATTTTTCTTTCTTGTAAAATAGGCTCTCCTAAATAACAATAAGTGTTAAGGGATTGTTTCTAGAATGCTATCTGTTTCTTCTTCTCTAGTTTAGGATATCTGAGTTGATTGTGAGTTGTACAGCATTTTTGCCTTGACTTTGAACAATGAGATTAAAACCAAAAATCATCCTGATGTAAAGAGATTTTATTTACAATACTAATGTCTGCTCTTCATATGTCTTTATTCTGAAATGGATTACATTTTACTTATAAATCTCCAGCATAATTTACTGCAGCCTGTACTTTTAAATCACATTTTATGTGCATGCTGCTGTAGTCTGCCACTGCAGCCCTGGTGGCTGAACGATGTGAGATACAGCAGTGCTAATCTCTAGCACATGTGAAAAATGGAGGAATGTGCTCGGAGAACAGCACATTCACATACCAACAAGCAGCTTCTGTGTCAGCAGCTTGCTGGGACAAAAAATATGAATGATCATCCCTGCAAGCCTTTTGAGGGTGTCTGAGGATCCCAGGAAGGGGTTAACACACACGGGTGTGCGTCCATAGGCTGCGCTCTGCACATCAAATCAAATATTTATGAATGAAGGTCAGATGTGCCCCTTTCAGGAGGCTGTCCCCGAACTGTTTACAAAATACAGCCTGAAAAGGAGCACGGCCAGGTTGAGTTACACCCTGACATCTCTGATGTGTCAGAAATGTGACATGGTGGCTTGTGCCTCCGTGTTGGTGGGGTTCAGCCCAGCTCCCCACTTGAGCCTCAGATGCTGCTATTAATAGTAACACACTGAGTCATAGGAGCAGGAATGTCAGACTGCCTGTGCTGTGCTGCTCTTACACGTTGGACTGCTAACAATAGAAAGCCAGCCTGGATTTGTTAGAATAGAATAACTATTTTTTTCCATGCATGTGCCTGTATCTCTGGCTCTCGCTTACTCTCTCTCTCTCTGTCCTCTCTTTATCTCTCTCTCTCTCTCTCAGAGATTTATTTATTAAAGAATGTCACTGAATAAGAGATACCTTCTGGGTGAGGCAGACTGGCTTGTTTAACTCATTTCCGTTGTTCTGGGTGGCATTTATACAAAACATCTAGAATTTATTTACTGCAAATATTTTTAACGCTGTGTGCGTGGTCTGATTTTTTTCCAGCAGGTATCAGCCATCTGCTGCTCTGTCTGGCTGATGCCTACATCTTGTTTCTTTACATTAATATCTCTCTCCCTACGTACAGTAGCATGGAGAAGGAATTCCCTTGTGGAGGTGTGAGCAGTGTAAATGTAGGGTGCAGTATGAATGTCATTTCACTTCTATCATGGAACATAAAGCACATTTTGCGCTGAGCTGTGGTCAAGTTGAAGCTTTTGCCCTGTGAATGTGTCCATAATTTAGCCCAGAATATCTTATATTTGACCCAGTTCTCTGCTGCAGAGATCACTTCTGTCTTTGACAAGTCAGTTCATTTCCATTTGTTATTTTCCCTGCCTTTAAGCCACAAATATAAAATATACTCTCCAGGCAAAGGCATGAATGCCATGGGTTTATTTTGGGGAAATCAGTGGTAGCTAGATAAAATGAAGAACTAAGTAATAGTAGTAGTGATAGAGGCTCTCCAAAATCTTGATGCTGGCAGTATATATGTATTTTAAAAACATAAGTAGCTTTTAAGGGCTATTCAGGATTTTGATTAGTCATATTTCCCATCTTTTCTTCATGACTGTGAATAAAAGTTTGCTTGTAAAAGAAAAGCTTTGTCTCCCCTGACTCTGACCTGCATCTTTTAATAGGAAACACAACCTTGGTATATGATGATGAGACTTGACAATAGGGTTGGCTTGTTTGTTTTCCAGCATCAGTTTACTGCCCAGTCCTTTCTCAGATCTTTTAATAGGAAACACAACCTTGGTATATGATGATGAGACTTGACAATATTCTAAAGGGTTGGCTTGTTTGTTTTCCACCATCAGTTTACTGCCCAGTCCTTTCTCAATAGAGTTTAGTGCCTGGAAAACCATAAATTGGCAGGTCAGTTTGAGGCCCAGATTCTACACTGGTGCTTTGTCTTGTTGGGGATGTGTTAGGGAGTGAAATTTGTGTCTCAGTGATGCTGTTTCAATACCTTTCTGTCCTCTCAGTTCCGTGAGTACCTGTGGCTATCACCTGCAAAGGAATAACTTAGGAGGAGTTATTGTTTCCAATTATTTGGAAACGATAAGTATTAACAGTATTCCTATTAAATATAACAGTTATTATTCCAGAATCCAGCACTTACTTTGACCCACAGCAAACATTTGTATAGCACTTTCTGGCTTCAGAACCCAGGGGCTCACTGGGCAGTGACAGTTCCCATTTTTATTGTTTTTATTGGTGTTTGAAGTACAGGTATAGGGTAGGGAAAGCTATTCCCATCGTGCACAGGCTGTATGTTACTCTAACCTGTTCTACAGTCAGTAAGCATTGAGAGACCATTTATTAGCATGTTTTGTGCTCTAATAATTGCTTTAAAGCTAAACCCAGGAGTGGATAAACTGCTCACCATGGAAAAGCCACTGTGCTGCATGCAGCCTGCCTCAGCACTTGCTTATCTTTGTTTCCCCTCTTGCTCCTGGCTCAGTTTTAGTAAATAAAACAACAGAAAGCTCATAAATACCACTTCAGCTCTGTGTGTGCATTGGAGCAGCTGCCCTGCTCTCCCTCGGAGGAGGGCAGGGAGGAATGCAGGGTGATGTGGGGATGGAAAGCAGCAGTGCTGGGATGGATCCAGCCCCGGCTCCCTCGGCAGCTGGAGCTCCCAGCACAGGGCAGGAGCCACGGGCAGGGATCGGCTGCCTTTAGCCACAGCAAAACAGCACGGGGGGAAAAGATCAGAGCAGCCAGGAGGAAAGAGGCAGTGATGAGCAGTCGGACCTGATCAGTCCTGGTAGGAAATCTGACCAGGGGAGATTATTATCTGCAATAAGCTGCCTTTTTTCTTTATTTTCTTTCCTTTTCCTTTTTTTTTTTCCTTTAATTTTTTTTAAAAATCCATCTCAGCCAAACACTGCTGGAAAAGAGATTGTGTTTAAATTACTTCAGCTAATTCTTGCTGCTTCCGCCAAGAAGAAAAATTGTTTGCCATGGTGAAAGAAAAAGGTAATTATGTTTATTGATAGACTGGGGCTGAAACCTAATGTGCCAGCCACAGTCACCTGAGGTTTAAACCCTCACATTTAAGATGAGCGTGCTGTGATTGGCAGTTGTTGTTTTCCTTGCTATAAAAATGGTGTGTGAAGCCCTGCAGTGGGTTGCATTGATTATCATTGTACCTGCTTTAATAAGGGTAGAATCTGGAACACATCTAATTTACTGTGTCTGCACAGCAGGGTCCCTTCTGTGTGCACATGTTTGAGTTTGTTTTTTTTCTATGATATAACCCAAGCTGACAGTTTTTTACCTGTATTTGCTACAGTTCAAGTAGCTTTGACCACTGCAACAGCTAGTTCAAAATTTTAAAGATAAACATTGATATATTCAAATGTGAGAGGGTATATTTTAAATTTTAATGGATAAACGGGATTTTGCAAAATGCTTGAATTTTGCAGCAGTAAATTGGATATCAGTTACCTATAAGTAACATTTTAAGCCTTCTACAGAATAATTTGCTATTTTAAACAATTTAGAAATGGTTGTGGGGTGTTTCCTTGCAGTAATACTGGTCTGTGTCATTTATTGTATTGTGAAGATGCAAGACAGATTATGAGTTGTATTTGAGTGTACTGGATGTGGTTTGGGGGCATTAACATTATCACAGACAGATTCAGCCTCAGTCTCTTCTGTGGAGAGGAGAGTCTGTGTTCTTTACTTCTGAGGACTGTAAAAAAATAAAAATTAAGAAATTCAAACTAGGGCAGAAATAAAAATAAGAAGGAGTAAAGCTGAGTAAGAGTGGAGCAATTTTGCAGCTTTGAACACCCGTGCTAAGACTTTTTGAAATGTAAATAAAAAGTGAGTGCAATTGCTTCACAGATGCCTAGATTGAGGAGAGCAGGACAAATGCTCATACATGACAAATGCCTGCCACAGTGTGTCACAGATATCAGGAGGATTGTAGTAATAACCACTCTGCAGTCTATTGATAATTTCTGTTGATGAAAGGCAGTGACCCAGCATAAATTTTATTGGCTACTTTCTAGCTTTGGGATCCTTTATTTCAGATGTACAGGATTACTTTTATAATATCAGTCATGATGACCTGCTACCCCTATCAGTGAGCCATACCAGGGATGGTTTAAATAGGAATTTCACCCCAAATCCTGGAAAGTGCAGGTTTCAGAATCATTTGAATGAACTACGTCAGTCATCGTTTCAGAAAAATAACTGTACTGTCATTCAGCTTATCTTAACTGTTGTTTGTTTTGGAAGATGCATTTTAAGACAGGGCTGCTGGGTTTTTTTGAAGTGTACATAAAATATCTGTAGCATTCAAGTTTGGTCCCTTTGTATGTTTCTGTCCCCTCCCCTAGCTGATGCTTTCTTGGTTGGATTCCCTGTGTTACGTGGAGTTGTAGCTGAGGAATACTCTGTAAATTTAGTTTTAGCATCTTGCACCATGAAAGTTGTCATTTACCTGCAAAGAAATCAAAACAAACCTGTTATTTTTGTAAAAAATGGGAAGAAAAAAGCTTCATAGAAAAGCGGGAGAAGTTGACAATAAATGATTGAAAATCTAAAAAAAATTGTGTTTAAATTGCTTCCTTTTCCCCTCCCCACCAAGTTTAATGCATTATTAAAGATGGCTATTTATATTTATGTTGGATATAAATATTTTTTTCCTGTTCACAGAGATAATGGACTAAAATAACTAAATGTTCTTTTTAATTTTGGAGTGCAGTTACTGATATTTCGTATCTCATGGCTGCAGAAAAAGAAAGGATGGAATCTGTCAAATATTTTGATTTTATATGTTATTACTTTCAAATAATTTCCTCAACAATTTTTTTAACTCTTTTGTTTCTACCTCAGCTTTCCTTTTTCTGTTGTGGGGTTTTTTGGTTGCTTTGTTTGTTTCTTTTGGTGTTTGTTTTGGTTTGTTTTTTGTTTTTTTTCTCCTCTGCTTTAGTCAGAAGGTCAGGATTTATTGCTCTAAATGTCACTCTCTACAGTGATACTCTCACAAAATGCAGCTGGTACCCTCCCTTCCAGGCACTGCTGGAGCTGTGGTTTGGGCAGGCTGAAAATGCAGTTCAGTCCAGTGTCATTTCACAGACATGTGAAGCAGGCACTGGAGGGGCTGGTTTCAGCTAGAAAAATGCAGCTCCAATTCACTGAATTGAAAAATGGTTGGTAACAGTTTTTAGCAAATTAGCATGCTTCATTATGCTCATACTGTAGAATGATTTCAGTGTCTGCCTGGTTAGTTCATACACAAAAAAACTTCCTGAGGCCAGGGTGTTTTCTGCTGACACCAAACGGCGCTTCCTAAGTTGTGTCTGACTGATACCACGTTTTCCTCTCTCTGTGTACTTACCCATTTCCAATTATAAGCCCTTATTATCTAGTTACTCAGCTGAATTATTATCACTGTGCTGCATCCAAGGACAACTTTCTCTCTTCTTATCCTTTAACAGAAAGAAAGTTTACATGTGCATAGGTTTGTCTTGTTATTAATTCTCTCTGGCAATTTAAAGCCCATATGGAATAATCTGCATTCTTTCTGCTTCTATGTTGAGGTCAGTGTGTGGGCTGGGAGCCTGCTAGCCAGGTTTCTGTGGGACACACGGGTTGTAGCTTCATTAGTTAGTTCATTCATTGGTTAATTCCACATTAGTTCATATGAACTGAGGATTTAGCCCTGATTCTTGATTTTTTGGGCAGTTGATGAGACGGCAGCCCTGGCATTCAAGTGCTAGTCTGTGAAAGCATATTGGTAATCAGCTTTGTTCCTGATGAAATCTTGGGCGGGATCATCCATGGGCAAACTCATGAAAGTGGATTAGTTGCTGTTCATGCCGTGCTTCTGCATGCTTGGAAGGCTAAAAGGAGGAAATATGAGGGGTTGAAGATTTTTTGGATTAAAGAAGCGGGCACAGAGGCTTCATGACTCCTGTTCTCCGTGTACTGATTCTGCTGAAGGGAAGGTGCTGGCACCTACTGGGTACCGAGTTGCAGTGAGCTTGATCATGTTTCCATGTTCTCACAACTTCTCTGTAGGTGCTCTCTGGTGCTGGCTCTCCCAGAGGCCACACAGAAGGTGCAGGTCACCAAAATGGTGCCACATTTCCAAGATTGTTTGGCCTCTGGTTCAGTCTTGCAGAGGGATTTTGTTCTCTGTTGTTTTTTCTCCATACTTTTGGTAAAGCATGAGAGCAATACCCCTGCAGGTTTTGACCAAGAAGACTGGTTGTATGCTTGCCCCAACCTTCTTCTCTTCCTTTTGCCAATCCCAAGAGCTGTGAGCCCCCAAAGGAGCTTTTAGTCTTTCTCTGTAGCTGTAATGTAACTGCTTAAGATGGGACTTTCCACGAAGAGTATGCAAATATTACCTGTCTGCTAATTTAAATGTGTTCTCTCTTGGGAACTTTGTCTCTCCAGTGCTCTGTGTATTTGCAATTTTAACATTTATTCCCTGTGTTAATCAGGAGAATGTTGAGTAATGGGATTTGGGCCCTAACACTGCCTCAGTGTCATGGTCGTTGATGAAATGTAGTCTTGATTTGAACTCATGGCTTTGGAACTTTTTAACCCCAGGTGACCTGGGAAAGTCTCCAAGTTTGTTGCTTTTGGAGCACATGACAAGATTATGCAATCACACATTGGCAGGGGCAGGATTGGGGAGTTAATTTTCTTTTTGCTTCAGTTTACATAGTTTCAAATTTGGTTCTGCTTGACAGTTTGCTTTTGGGGCTGGGCATTTGGGTTTTTGTGGTTTCTTTTTTTGTTTGTTTGTTTTTGTTTTTGTTTTTGGGGTTTTTTTTTAATTTTTATTAAGGGCCTGTGCTACCTTGTACAAACCACAGAAAAGGCATTTTAGAAGTATGCATTATAGTAGATGTTGAAAAAATACACTTGTAGGTAAAGTACTAAACAATAGGACAGTTCTGTGTTAGAGGCTCTTAAGGTGACCTTGGGGAGGTAATTTGATCTTTCCTTGTGTTAATCTGTAAAATGAGGATAAGAACATTCCTCTTGTCTGCCTTGATTATTTGAATTTGAGGTCTTTGGAGCAGAGAGTTTCTTTTACCTTGCTTCACAGCTGTGACAAAGCAATCTCAATGCTGGGATTTCACTACTCCTACTTGTACAAAAAACCATAAAGAGTATCCAGTGCTATGTGATTATCTTGTAAACATCTTATTACTTTTAAAAGGCAATGCAATTGTAAAGCAATTATGTTTCTATTGGCACATTTATGGCATTGCTTTTCTGTACTTTCTCTTTCTAAATTTATTTTTAATATTAGGTTTCAAATTGCAGTTCTGGTGTGCAGCATTGATACTGAGAGAAACAAAAATAACCAAGGAGATGCCAGCTCAGGCACTGCATGTTTACTGGAGATTTTAATTTATTATTTTTTTAATAGCACTTACTTCACATGAGGGTACAAATACTCATATCCAAAGAGTTGAACAAGCACAGTGTGCAGTCCTGCCATGCCTGACCACTTCCCATGTTTCCCAGTAGTAGAATTCCATACATTCCTTGCATCCCAGCTGTGTGTAGGAGCCAGCTCCCTGAAGATAGGATGGCAGATATTTTATACTGAGAAATGGGAGAACTTTTGCTATTGATCTCACTGGAGGGGAGGGCTTAGGGGGTTTAGTCATTAAATTTGAAACCACAGAGTTCATGGGTTCAGGTGGTGGTAGAAGCAGCTCTTCCTCCAGCTGAAACAGTGAGTGGTGTGAGCAAAAAAACCCCAGTTTTGAAAAGGGGAGGTTCAATCAATTTCACTTGCTCACAATTATCACAGTTCTAATTGCTGATTCTGGTTTTGAAGATAAAAGCAAGCAAACATATGCTCAGAGAGACACACCTCATGTTCCCTCTGGACTCTGATTCCCAGTCCATGTCTCTCATGACCCTCAGTACCTCTGGTGAGGTGTGGGTGGCCAGGACACTGCACCAGGCCACTGCTGCTCCTTTCACTCTGTGCT